GTGCCTGGATCATTACACACACATATATATATATAGATATACATACGAACATTTGAAATTGCTCATGTCAATCATTTATATCAAAAACGTTGTCTGCGTTACCTGCTCTCCCCTAGCACTATTTTGAACACAATGTTACTCAGAATTATAATGCATTTTAATCCTAACCATTAACTTCAACGCCAACGGGCTACCCAGGAAAGAAAGGTCAGATCCCTCCCTTTCACTTATCTGGTAATCTACCCCGAAGGCTGTGCTGTCAGCCGAAGGTCAGCATTTAAAGGGAGGAGGGGGGAAAATTTACTGGAGATTGTCAGCATGTTGATTTCAGGGAAGTCTCATTGGCTGGCTGCGAGCTGTATCTCACACAATTTTGCACTGTTCACCCCCGCTGCTCGCGCTATCTTGTAGTGCTAACCATTGCTGGTGATTTCCAGTGGCAGAACTCCACTTAAAGCCCAGCTGTTGCTTCATTGCAAATACAAGGTCCATTAGACCGTAAGACATAGGAGCAGAAATTAGGCCATTCGGCCCATCGAGTCTGCTCCGCCATTCAATCATGTCTGATAAATTCCTCAACCCCATTCTCCCGCTTTCTCCCCTCGATAATCAAGAACCTATCTATCTCAGTCTTAAATGTACTCAATGACTTGGCCTCCACAGCCTTCTGCGGCAGTGAATTCCATAGATTCACCACTCTTCGTTCTAAAGGGTCTTCCCTTTACTCTAAGGCCGTGCCCTCGGGTCCTAGTCTCTCCTACCAATGGAAGCATCTTCCCAACATCCACGCTGTCCAGGCCATTCAGTATTCTGCAAGTTTCAATTAGATCCCCCATCATCCTTCTAAACTTCATCGAGTCTAGACCCAGAGTCCTCAAACATTCCTCATACGTTAAGCTTCTCATTCCTGGGACCATTCTCGTGAACCTCCTCTGAACCCGCTCCAGGGCCAATACGTCCTTCCAGAGATAAGAGGCCCAAAACTGCACACAATACTCCAAAGGTGGCCTGACCAGAGCCTCAGGGGTGCACCCCTGCTTTTATATTCAAGTCCTCGCAAAACAAATGCCAACATTGCATTTGCCTTCCTGACTAACTTGTGCAGGTCAGATCGGTGAACGTTTAGTCTCTTTGCAGCATCACCTGTCTGACAAACTGTCCTTATAATGAGAACAAAGCCATGTGGGTTGAGGAAGAACTTTGGAAAACGTGTGCGTCCTGCCGTGCCCTGAACCCTGCTTCTCCTGCAGGCCCCGTTATTTCTGGAAGTGCAAGGCGATGTTGTGCTGGAATGCAGCTATTGTTTTATTACAGAAACCCAACGCCCCACCCCGTTAGGTCTCAGCGCAGGGGAAAGCGCCCCCCCCGACCCCGCTCCATCCTCATCCCTACCTGCTGGTACTGAGCGTACTTAATGGGATCCTTCTCGAAAATCTCATAGGTCTGAGATTCCAGGTTATCCATGAGAGGCTGAGGACAGACAGACAGATAGAGAGGGGTTAAGGCTGGGCACACAGCTCCCCCTCAAACACCCTCCTACATTCCACCCCCGTCCCGCTCCCCAGTCGCTGACCTGCAGTGGACACTGAAGGTAGTCTTCATAGCCCTTGGCAAAGGTCTCGTAGGCATTGGGAGGCGGCCGGTGCTGGTTGAGGTACTCAAGGTACTGCAGGTAGGAGCGGAATTCCTTCTGGGAATGGCGATTGGAGCCCGTGATAACAAACTGCACTTCCAGCTGGACACAGTGGGGAATGGGGGGAGGGGGGAAGAGAGAGAAAACGGGAGTGAGCAAGTGAGACACAGCCGGGGGAGAGAGAGAGAGAGAGAGGGAAACTGAGCAGGTGGAGGAAGAAAAAGAGAGAGAGAGAGAGAGAGAGAGACACACAGAGAGGGGGAGAGAGAGAGAACAAGAAAGAGAGAGAGAGACAGACAGAGAGAGAGAGGGGGAGAAAAAGAGAGAGGGACAGACAGACAGACAGAGGGGGAGAAAAAGAGAGAGAGAAACAGACAGAGGGGGAGAAAAAGAGAGAGAGAGCTAGAGGGACACAGAGAGATGGGGGGAGAGAGAGAGAGAGACACAGACAGACAGAGAAGGGGAGAAAAAGAGAGCGAGAAACAGACAGAGGGGGAGAAAAAGAGAGAGAGAGCTAGAGGGACACAGAGACGGGGGAGAGAGAGAGAGACACAGACAGACAGAGGGGAGAAAAGAGAGACAGAGAGAGAGAAAAGAGAGAGACACAGACAGAGAGAGAGGGGGAGAGAGAGAAACAAACAGAGAGGGGGAGAAAAAGAGAGAGAGAGAGAGACAGACGGGGGGGGGGA